TTACGTTTTTGTAAACAATTTTGGGCACTAACTGTCTCTTATACACATCTAGATGTGTATAAGAGACAGCGTCCATACTAAGCATACATCAGGAACTTACATTCTCTTTTTTTGTAATTTTTGATGATTTCTCAGATAGGAATACAAAGTAAATTGACTGAACCTGGTAAACTAAGTTGGACAATTTTACATTTTTCATACAGATCTGCAAATAAAATTTTAAAATTAGCTTAAAGAGGGGAAGATTCACCCATGGTGGTTATGATGTTGAGTGGTATATGGTGAAAAATGATATAGTTGATAATCTTCAAAGATTACTGCTAAATGTTTTGTTGTGAACTGGTTTGTTACAAAAGTTTAGGAAGCCCTTTTTTCATTTTTTGAGATATCTCTTGAGTCTATTTTCAGCCAAACCTTTTTCGATGTGTGCAGCCAATGTTTTCTGACGTGAGCAGTTTAATGTCGTCCATACTAAGCATACATCAGGAACTTACATTCTCTTTTTTTGTAATTTTTGATGATTTCTCAGATAGGAATACAAAGTAAATTGACTGAACCTGGTAAACTAAGTTGGACAATTTTACATTTTTCATACAGATCTGCAAATAAAATTTTAAAATTAGCTTAAAGAGGGGAAGATTCACCCATGGTGGTTATGATTTTGAGTGGTATATGGTGAAAAATGATATAGTTGATAATCTTCAAAGATTACTGCTAAATGTTTTGTTGTGAACTGGTTTGTTACAAAAGTTTAGGAAGCCCTTTTTTCATTTTTTGAGATATCTCTTGAGCCTATTTTCAGCCAAACCTTTTTCGATGTGTGCAGCTGTTTTCTGATGTGAGCAGTTTAATGTCGTCCATACTAAGCATACATCAGGAACTTACATTCTCTTTTTTTGTAATTTTTGATGATTTCTCAGGTAGGAATACAAAGTAAATTGACTTAATGCAGAACCTGGTAAATGTCCCTAAATTTACACTTCATTTTTATCAATTATATTTTGAAATGGAATGAAAGACAAATGGCAAAAACATTTTGCCCGACCACCCTCTTCAAACTTCCCCCAACCCCACACGTAACACCCTGATAAAAAAAATCTAACAATTCAATAACATTTTAAATAATTTTATACAGAAAATGCAACAAAATGGCTTAGTGATATTATTATTTGACCTGAACAATCACATCAGCCATGTGTCCACATTTTTAATTAGGTAACATCCTAATTAAAGTTGTTCAATTGCATGATACAGTATATCCCATCAGATATACATTTTAATAAAATTTTGAAAATACAAAAAGATAATTGATAACCTATTAAATATTTATAGTATAGGTTATTTGCCATTTAAAAATTTTCCAATTTAAATAATATAAAATAATTAAAGATTTGAAAACATGATTGCACATACAATGTGGAAATATAATGAATAACTATTTCTATAATCTTTATAACTGAAATGGTGCTGCCATAGATATTGCACCACAATCACAACCTGAATGACAATAAAGTGTACAGTATCTGTATCATTCACACTGTGGGACTAATTGGTTCTTTGTGCTAGGCTGCGTATCACTGCCCTTTCTTCTGTCCACATCATACCTCCCTTTCCTCCGTCAACATTAATCTCAAAATTAATGTTAACTAGAGCAGTAAATGAAAAGAGTACATACCAAGTAGGCCTAGGCTTACTTCCCAGGCTATTACTACTACCAGGCGATCAAAGAGTGTCTCTTCTTTGATCATTTCCTCAATTTCAACAGCACCCACTGTCTCGCAATACTTGCAGGACATTATTTAATTTGTCTTTTGGTGCTTTTGCTATCTGCTTTATCAAGAAGTATGCTAAAGTAATGCTCAAACCGAGCAGTCTCTATGTTTGTATCATCTACTCACTGATCTGTGTCTTGGTCAAGGGCCAATCTTTCTCGTTACAGTCAGTGATGTCATAAGTGGGGCCTAGAGATTGCACATCGTCCGACAGGGCAAAAAAGTATTTTCTTTTATGGTAATAGTACTTTCTATTGTCCGCTTCTTAACCAATCAGATGCCTAAAATCTATGTATGAGGTACATAATTGTTCTTACATTAAAAACCTGACAGTGGTATCTAGTTGAGTTGGTGTTGGTTGTATAGTTCTACAAGCATGACCATAGTGGAGTGTTTGGCTCGTCTTAAGGAAGAAAATTCAAGGTGCTTGCCCTTAGCAAACTTCAAGAAAGCATCACGTCCATCCATCAAATCACAGCTGATGTAACTATCTGGATCCTGAATAAGCTCTTTGTTCCGACCAGGGCTGTCGCAGAGCTGGATAACAAAGAAAGACTGCAGGAAAGAAATATGTAATAATAAATGTTTACAATAATTACATTTACGAGTGCTTAATAAAATGCAGAGATCTACATACACAGGTATGTCTATGCAAGGACAGGGTAACACACCTAGACTAAGTCTGCATCAGTTGGATATTAAATGCAAGTTGCAATTCCCAGCTACTATAATATTAAATAATCACATTTTTCTTATATTTTATTTGTATGTTTTTATTATTCTTATTATTACAAGTATGTTGTGCTTGTGACTCAATTCAGAGTTATTGATCTTGAAGCTTTGGTAAAATTTGAATTTTAGGTACAAGATATAAGAACCTTTCAGGGAAATAGTAAAACAAGCTTCAGGAATAACCAAATAACATTAATGTCCATAGAGTAACAATATACTTTTGTGTATGAAGACTAATTACTAGACGTCAGGAATTTTTAAGCTATTTGTCCCGGGACAACCACTTTTGAACAATTGGAGTGCAAAATGGATAATTTTTTGTGTTTACGGCCCCATCATGATGTAGAAATATGGCGGAAAGGGTAAATCCGGTGAACAAATGATGGGTACTACTACCACAAGGTAAAGGGGGCGCTCTATTGAAAATTGAATAGCGCTGTGCCTATTACCAAAGGCCGTATCTAGGCCTAGAGGTTAGTAAAATTGCAAATTTACTTTACTAATTTACTTTACTACATTATTAGGCCTAGCTAGCTAGCTAGCTGGGCTACCTTGTTGTGGACCTATACCTATCATGCTAAATACCTGTGTGTCATGGCCTGCTAACCATGATTTGCTTGACTAAGGCCAGATTTATTTTCTAAAATAAACGAAGGCATGTTATTTTGTCCCAAGGTAAAGTATCCATTAAATAGACACCTTCTTCAGAAATTACATTGCATGTCGTATCCCATTAAACAAAACATTTCCCTTAGGGTAAATCCAACACTTTATTGCTTTACGTTCATATTCGAATCTTATATGTTCATTTTCAGCCTATCGATTTTGACATCACACTTCTAACAAACTCGCATGATGTACTCTGAATAAAGGCTGAAATTTTCCAGGAATTAGGACACCCGCTGAGTGACTTCGAGGAAAACTTGAGTGAATTGCTCACTGAATATGGACTCCGGGTTCATTTCTAAAATAACGTTTGTTTAGATAAGGCCTGTACTTTATTACCACCCCCACATTATTATTATCATTGCATTTAACCATGTATATGTTGTGTGGATGCCTATGATGGTGTATATTGAATAGAATGGAATTAAATAATAAAGTGTTTTTATTGTAATATAATGTATACAGAATATTGTTATAAAAGGAAATTTTCATCGTGAGTGGATTTCCCGTACGATTAAAAATCGTAACGGTACTGGGTTTGGTCTACAGGAGTTCGTGCTTCGAACAGGTCATTCCATTCATAGAAGAAGCCTTTTGATGTAGAAAGTTTACCTTTTTAGCAAAAAGGTTTGCATAGGTCGAAACTAACTCAGACTATATAAAATTTATTATATGATTGAAAAATATTAATCTTATTATTGTAGTAGTGATACTATGTACATGTTTTAATTATTGTTATTTATTCGTTAAATCATTATATTTACATTTAAATTTAATGTATTGTTTAAGTATGAATTACTGTGTCCATGTAAAATTAATCTTATCTATTAAAATTGTATATTTTAAATAAAATAGTAATAGGCATACCAAGGTCTGGCCTAGGCTAGGCCTAAACAAGTGACTATATCATGTGAGTGCATAAAATTATAAAAAATATGAATAAAACGTAAAATTGTGAAAGAATAATGGAAGAATAGGAAAGAGATTTGGAGCGGCTGAAATATTTTCCGAAAATATACAATAGTAGTCAATGCTATTATTGCATTACGTTTTTGTAAACAATTTTGGGCACTAAACGTCAGATGTCTCGGTGCCACAGCCTACACTTTTCATAATTCGAAATCGAATCGGATCTTAAGTGATTTCCAAAATCTCTTTATATGAAATAAAGAATAATTAATGTTTAGAAAACAAACTAAATCAAATGTCTTACCTGGAAGTACGCATAAATGTACAACATGATCGTATAAACATAATCATGAGTGCATCGCTGTATGTGTATGTGGTTCTGTTGTTTGTTCTGCTATGATGATAACGTTCTTTTCAGTCTGTTTGAAATTTGTGCATGTAGATAACGCGTGTAATTTTGTTCTGTATTTTTACGCATTGTTCTGTATGTACGCATCAACATCTACTTATTTCACGTTTTTCACTTTATCAGTTAACTGACATATATTCTTGTATAGGAACAATAATCCACACAAAAATAGGTGATTCTGAGAAAAAAAAGCCACTGTCCTGGATGTCTGACAAAAACTGCTTATGCCTGTAAAACATTTTCTTGGACCTTGTTCACCCTGCAACTCATTTTTACTAGCAACATTAGCATTATCAGGGGCAGATCCAGAATTTTTCAAATGGGGAAGGGAGGGTGGGGGAACAACAGTTTTAGAATAGATAAGTAATATACAACACTAATATGCATTGAAATTTTAAAAAATTAGTGTCAAAACATCCCTGATTATCAACATTAATGTCATTTTTCGTCATTCTCATGAGATTCAAAATTAATTTTATAAAACCAAAGACTAAAACCAACCTGTTTATGTTCTTCCATAGATGTGTAGAGTTTCTGTTTTAAGTCGCTGGCTTTTTCAGGATAGTTTAATTTTCTCCTCTTCTTACTCGGTTCCCCTCTGTTTTTGAGTTTCTAATACAATAAAAATCCAGTAACAAAGACAATATAAATATTAATAAAAATTATTTAATTACAGTATATACACTTCCCAGACCATGAAATTTCAATTAAAAAGTAACAGCATAATACCTGAGCACTTGTAGATGCTGCCGCCTCTGCAGCCCTCTGCCGTTTCTTCTCCACTTGATCAAGTTTTTCGATGATTTTCTCAAGGTTGTCTGGCCAAAAATCCCCTTCAAAGTATGGCAACTCATTGGCACTGGTTAGATTATCATCTGATGCAGATTGATGGATATCCTAAATAACAAAATATTACAGTAATTTTGGATTTTTTCTGTACAAAAATCTTGATTGGAATATTTTAATCCATATTGTTAACTTCAATTAAGGATTTCTGTGTTAATTTAATTTAATTCATTTTAAATTAATCAGTTTTATTTGAATGATAGGAGTAAGAGAGTTTACTTGTTTGGTTTATACCTATTCGTTGCTCCTTGGAAGATTGCACATTTACTATGCCAAATATAATTTACTGTTGTTATTATTATTGTTGTCATCACCTCTGCCATCGTCATTATTTCCTGGTATACATTGTGTCTATAATTGAAATAATGTCAATTTTAAGTCGGAGATATGTTCAGGTCACTATCTTCAGACTTCTACAAACAGATACCTTGTTCGAAGCAACAAATCCTCATTTACAATAATCGGCAGGATATTTACCTTACATTAACAACATCAACACAAGTAAGAAATAGAAAAAAAAAATGAATATAAATACAGTAGAACCCCTCATTTACGTACGGGACAGGCCCAAAGGTGTTCGTAAAAATCATTCGTACGTAAAATCGGGGTTGTGTGAAATTCCTATGTATTTACACTACCGATATGCTAGGCTGGGCTAGGCTAGGCCTGGACTTAAATTTTGTTGGACTGGAGCCAAAACTCCAACTTGCGCTCGAAAGAAATTCAAAATAACGATCATAATAATGTACAGTACTATACATACTTGTTAATGTGTATAGAAACTTTATTCTCTCTTTCTCAGGCAATAATATATGACTTATCTTCTAGCTTACGAAAAAACATAGCCCAGCGGGCGCCGCAACAGGGCGAGTAACCAACGTTTTTCACTCGATCCATGTGGTTGTGGCGTCATGTAAATACCCTGTACAGAATAACCCGGAAACCAGGGGTTCACAACTTTTTAAAAGAAGAGCTCTGATTGGCTGTAGAGACGGCGCTTGGACTTTTTTTTGTATGCAATACGATTGTTCTACGCCTGCATTTATTAAATGAATAATAAAGTTATAAAAAGAAAATGTGGGTGTCAGTGTCTTATTTTATGGGGGAAATAATGAAATGGTAGATTAACGTTAGTTAGATTTGATAAATTCCATTCATAATTAGGGGGTTCATTAAATTACGATATGAGGGTGGTGTATTCAGAGATGAATAAATCATGCGCCTATCGATATGCCGACAAGTTACGTATTGGGCAGAGTTTTCACACGGCTGCAGACATAAAGTATGATCGCCGTGTTGAATGTCGGTGTATTCAAAGCACACTATCTGTAGTAGAGATTGCTGATAGTGTACAGCAAACCGTCTAAGACCGAGTGAATAAACTCTAGCCCGCGCCTAACGATTAATTCTTGACACGGGTGTGTGTTTTGTTCATGAAATAGGAACTTTATTTATGACATGATTTTACGGGAATTCGTAAAATCGGGGTTCGTAAAATCGGGGTTCTACTGTATAGTCAAGTTTGTGGGAGGAGTGAGCTGAGGACTACAAAATACAAATAATAGTGTGCCTGCAGGCAAAAGGTAGGCTGGATATGATTAACCTCCTTGGCCTTAGAAGTTGTCAAGCTCCACAAAGAAGGAATATAAACACATTAGGAACTATTACATTAAACAACTAAAGTTACCTTGTATTTAATGACTACTCCATATTCAATAGCTTTGTTTAGCATCATCTTGTACCAATCTTGGAGCCTCTTGAGGTCTGGGATCTTCTGTTCCGTGGGGTGGCAATGAAAGATGAAATCATCCCCTTTATTGGGTGGACAAGCCCAAATGTGAGCCCATTCATACCTGAAAGTCCACAAAAAGTAATTTAATAAACAAATAAAAATAAAGCTAGAAAGATATTATAGTATTAAATAAATTTGTGTTCTATTTGATATTTCTTTTAGATACTTTTATTTGAAGACTCATTTCAAGGAAGTGAAAACTGGCTCGAGATATATCAAGAAGTCCATTTTCAGGATTTGTTTACTATTTCTGAGGTAGGCCACCACCCTATGTGATTGGATTTGTAAGATTGTGTGCTGGGTAACTAGATACAGTATACTGTATTTATGATGTTTTAATTTTATATGATGCTTATTTTATATACGTTTTGTTGCAGAGACCTGCAAAGGACGTGGGCCTATTCAAGCAAAAAACGCCAACCATATTCCGTTTATTTCACCGGTTAATCGTGTGGAGCACACAGAGGGTGGTTGACCGTTCGAGCAATTTCGTCATGCATGTGAGGAGGCATAGAAAAGCTGCAACCGGGCATGGGCCATAACCCTATTAAATTTCGCGTGCTGAACTGTGGACAAACAATTTGGAAAAACAATTAAGGCTGATTTATCGTTGGCTCCATGGTCATTCCATACACGGTATTCTACCCAGCAATTTGCTGGTCAACATTGTTGTGGATAATCCAGATGATAAGGTAATTAGGTTAGTTTCCGAGTGGTTTTAAGAAGTGTGTACAGATAAATTAGTTAGCAGTCACAGATTTTTTTCGAATGGGCCCCAGGTACTGTTGTCCCTGGGATAAAGAATAACAATACAAACAAACCCCTTCTACTAAAATTGTACTTACCCTATACCCTTGACATATTCCAGGTAGCCTATAAGAATCTCATAGTACATTGCCGTTCTGTGAGCACTTGGTTGGAAGAAGTGTACACTATCTAAGTAGGATATATAGACTCTCCTGTTGGCAAAAACGAAATTACTGTATATAAATATTCTCTTAATGAGCTTAAATACTTGAGTGTAGTGTAGGTGGGGGTGGTGGAGGGGTAACCCCACATCCCCACAAGTTCTAAACTGTAGGCTCAGTGTACCTTTCCTAAAAGATAATTTGCACCTAAAACTTCTAGTTTTAAAACACCCTGAAAGATAACAGTTTTCTTTGTAGCATGTGAATTTCATGCCAATGGATTAGAAATTACATTAAATTTTCTTCCAACGGGTAAACAATTTGCAACAAACAGCTGATATATAGTGATAGTCTCTACCGTGGGTTGGAGATCATGCCTGACTTCGAGAACACTTACCGACTATTCGGTTGTGGGCAATTTGCATCATATTCTTGAACATGCATACCAAACAAACACACATCAACACCTTCAATCTCTTCAAATGCAAATATGGCTTTGGTACTGTAAGGAAATTCTTCTGTATCACAAAATCTGTTTTTAAGAGAATAATCAATGTTATGTTTCCCATTGCCCCTTAAGTAATATACTGTGCACACAAAAGCTTGTGACAAATAAAATATATCAATTAGTCTAAAAAAAGCTAATGTTGCTTTAATTACTGTACGGCTGTACAGCTCATCACATTACTTCCGACTTTGTAAAACTGTTATTGTACATTTATGTTTCCCTGTTTTTTACCTTTAGTTAAGTTCTATATTTACCAAAATTTAGTTGTCTTTGTGTTTCCCCCTCGATTAAAATCCAAGGACAACACATATTTCTCATTTGTGATTGTAACTTTTGACAACTTTCACACATTGTATTTCATGAGTTTGAGTAATAATTTTTATATACTGTAAAATCCAGAATTAATACAGCAATTAATTATATTAATAAATTAATCATTTAATTTCATCATCATTCCTGATTATGACATAATTAATGTTGAAATATTGAATCCCAACATGATGGGGTGCATTTCAATACTTGGAGTATGTATTATACTTTTTATCTGAGGTTAATCAGTAGACCCTTTGGTTAATAGAATTAACTGTATTATTGCATGCATTTCAATACTTGGAGTATGTATTATATTTTCTTATCTGGGATTAATCAGTGGACCTTTTGGTTAACAGAATTAACTGTATGTATTACCAATACAGCGCTACACAATCGGTACTTACCTAGATTTCATTCTGGGTTTAATTTCAACTACTTTGTTATTACTTGACAACACTCTGATGGTGATTTCCCCTGCCCCTGAACAATGTTTCTGAAGATATTCATTGACTCTATTCTCAAGATGTGTACCTAATTTTCTTATTGGCAGCTCTGTAAGAAAAAGCAAACCATGCATGAGTGACTCCTACTAACAATTCCAAGAATAAATAATTCCTCTAAGCACAAAAAATGGGAGTAAAAAAGTCCTGGTCACGATGGTATTGATTCTGATTTAATTAAAAGAGTTACCAGAGAAATAGCGTTATTTAATGTGTCCCTCTCTTCGGAAATCATTCCCGATGAACACTTTACGTACCTAGGCACCCATTTGCAGACTAAATATATTAACGCTGACTGTGATATTTATCTCAATGAGTGAAAATTAAATAGAGTCCTTGAAGCAACTTTTTTTTAGGAATAACTACAGTAGAACCTCGTTTTTACGTACCCCAGTTATACGAACCCTCGGTTTTACGTACGCCTTGTATCGACGATGACATAATCAAAAACCCCGAAAATATTCAAAACAAACGGCCCTTTTCAGAGCACTGCCATAAGTAAAAAGACTATAACAATAAACTATAACAATAAACATACCATAATGCAACGTATTTTCATTAAACAGCAACGTTGATTGAGTCTAATACCGGGTTGTTATAATCTAAAACCATGTGAACTGAGTGAGATGAACAACTACCGATGGTGCTCAAAATAATTGCTTTCCTCCTTAGCTTTGTGTGGAAAACCTTGGAAACACTTGTCTGGTCGAATTTTCTACACGAAGCTGAGTAGGCATAGTTTCGTACACGGACGCTAATTGGTTGGCTCGCCCAGTGCAGTGCACATGGTTGCTGTTCCACGTACACGAACGCTAATTGGTTGGCAGCGCACATGGGTTTTAGTTTGTCTCAACAGGCCCAGACAGCTCTGTCGTTTAAAATAGGCATGAAGGGGAATTCCCAAGTTATACCTTTGTCGTATAGGTAATCTTATAATATTTTCATGTTCTTTAGTTCAATAAAATATATAAAGTGATAACTTAATACACTAGACACACGGTTTTTTTTTAAACACTTTATTATGACATCGTAAAGTGATGAATAAAAACACTAAACACATGGTTTAATTCGTAGGCCTAGAGGCTTGGTCTGGCCTAGCTAGGTAACATCGTTCGTTCATACATACGTATATTGAGCGTTACGTACGTATTACTTCAAAGGTTACCACAAATTTAACCCAACCTCTATTTTACGAATCCCCCGATTTACGTACGCCCTCCAGTCCCGTACCGTACGTAAAATCGAGGTTCTACTGTACTGACGATAATTTGAAGTGGAAAAAACACATTGAAAATATTTGTAAATCATGTTCTAGAAATATTGGTGACTTAAAGTCAATTTCTACCAAAGGCTTCACTCTATCAACTGTACTGCTCATTAGTTTTACCGTATTTAAACTGTGGCGTGATACTATGGGGAAATGCCAGTAAGTGTATCAACAAATTGTTTCTATTACAAAAACGTGCCTTAAGAGCAATATCACACAGTTCGTATCTGTGTCCAACTAAATCATTATTTCTTAAATATAATGTTTTGAATAGCTTTGACATGTATACAAGTGGAGTTGCTATTTTTATGTACAAATAGAAGCACGACATGTTACCAGCTTCACTTTAACATTTTTTTACTACCCATCGTGAAAAGAAGTATTTAAGAAAAAGTATTCACTGATTACAAGGTTATCTTATTTATTTTATACTGAAGTTTCTCAGGTATAAGCCCATGTTTAAGCTCATCTCTTTTAAGGATTTTTCATACAAAATTCTCTACCAATTCCATACAAAGTATATATACTGTATACTGTTTGAGTTTATACCTATTTCTTGCTTCTGACCAGATTGTACTTTTACCTTGCCAAATAAATATTATTATTATTAATGTTATTATTATGTATATTCCTTTATATTTTTCTTTCAATGAATTCTTGTAATATTTAGTAGAGGCATTGGATTAGTATCACAATATGCTTCTGTTTCTCATTTTTGGTGTGTGTGTGTCGAGTACCAAAATTAGCTTAACAAGTTAAAAATTTAGTGTTGACAAAAAAACAGTAACACTGACATGGACAGCCATTTTTTGGTATTTTATTAAGCGATTCACATTTAATTTAATTACCACATGGGTATTAGTAGTTATAATGCTACAAACTGGTGAGTTGTGCTAAAAAATCAGAGCCTTGCAGGTGTCAATGTTCCTATGCATGATGCATGACTTTATCAGAAAATATAAGGTTGGGTCAAATTTGTGTGGTGAATGTGAACAATTCAGGAGGAGTGAGTTTTGATGGTTTGACCACATTGTTTATGTTATTTGATAGGCAAATTAAGTCTGTGACGATATCAGGGGTGGGGGTGCTTGCAGCCTGGCCTACTAGACAACAATATATTAAATCACCTTAGCAAGTGTCAACATTCCTATGCAGAATAATAGTGAAGTTATTTATTTATTATTTATATGACTGAATACATGAAATATTTCAATTTGAAAACATGCCGTTTGCAGTGTCATGCTGTGGTAGAGAAAATGTTGGCCTATAGGCCTAATTGATACGTCAACTGTGATACTTTTATCACTATGGATTGTTTTCAACTTTTGACGTATTCAGGGAGGCGCTGGTCCCCTCCTCCACCTCCCCTACCCCTTTGTACACAGTTTTAATACAAATTCCTTAAATCACTCAGACTCTTTAATAGTGATCAACAAAACTTACTTATGAAGTAAACAGTTTGGGTCAAATGTCTGTGTAAAAAAAATATATAAGGCAAAAATAAAATTACAGTAATATAACAATATTTGGTTTTATTTCAAAATTATTATTTACTAAATGCAGTATCAATAAATACAATACTTTATTACATTAGTATGGTTTGCACTAGTATGTTAATGACACCTTTATATTTTCCACAATGGCAATGTGGGACAGGATGACAAGATTGAGTGCAATGGGAATAAAGTGATGGATGGCTAGTTAGTAAACTAATCCCAAGGGTACCATTAGGCATGTCACTGTCAGTAAAACAAAATGTCAGAAAACTTTTCCTGAAGATGTCTACACACACACATACACACACCCACACACACACATACACACACACACGCAAAAAAGTGAATACAACAGTTCCTATAAAATTACATGCATAGGAACTAATTATGGATGAGCAGGAGGAGGATGCTTTGTAGCATGACCAACACTTTAAATTTACCAATTTTATATAATTTGATTATTATTTAGCATAATCAGATACATAATATCCCATTTTTAAAATTACGAATCTCGTGAGAATTTGTTACATAGAAGAACTCAACCTAGATCTTGTGATTCACTTCGGCAGTTCAAAGCCCATTTAAAAACACACCTTTTTCAATAGTTCCTCTCACCTTGCTTAGATAGTATTTGTTTATTGTTTTGTTTGTTTTCTTATTTTTTTTACTGCTTTATTGCATTAGTTAAGTTAGCACACTTTGCTTGGTTTGGTTCTATGCAAGCTTTATTTGAGAGATGTTTTTGACTTATTGTGAAGAGTCGCTTACAGTGCTTTGTAACTGAAAAGAAAAGCGCTATACAAGTAACAAGTAAGTTCTTGCAATATTACTATCCTTCAATTCGTAGAAAAAAAAATTGAATGGGCCAAAAGAAAATGAGTATGCTGTCTTGAGCTTCTTGGATAACAGGCCTACCTATATTAGATGAATTTGATGCAGACACGTAAATAATGATGGTAATTTTAAAGTTTTAGAACAGGGGTTTTCAACTGGCAGTTCAATTCACTACTCCAATTGCATTTCAGCTAGAGGGCTGAAATGCAAGTTACGATAGCGCATCATCTAGAGAGAGAAAAACTACGAGTTCTAGAGTCGGCATCAAATTCATCTAATAAAGGTAGGGCCTATTTTCTAAGGAATTTTTGACAGGATACTTATTTTTTTATGTTTTTATCGATTCACAAAGTCCTAATGGTTCAGGCGGCAAACTAAACTGTACAGCCATTATGCATATATTTCTCGTTTCTTTCTTCACTCTCCAACAGGCTAACTGTACAGTCATTATGCATTTTATCCATTTTATCAACCAGTTGAATTGCTTTTTTTACATTCATATCTATTTTTGTTATTTACCTGCTACTCTTCCAGCGTTTAAATCAAATTTTTTTCTGTTAAGTGGTATTTTTGATGTAAGTGAGGGCTGCAAATAATCAGCATTGCTACCCTTCAGGATATATTGTTTTAAATAATTGAAAACTACTCACTTTTGGCATTAAAATTGTGTATTTCCTCTGTCATTCCATTTGATTTCTTACAATTACCACATTTGAACCTTAGATAGACACAAACACATAAATAAATAAAATAATTTCAGATACATAAATAACAATTAAAACATTACTATGCCATTAAGACTAAAATAAATAAACTTATTTTCTTTAAATAAAGACAAAGAAAATTTTCCTATAATTTTTTTATCATTTCATTTTGTTTACTTTTTAGGAATTCATTTTAAGTTCTTAAAAATCAACAATATTTTCTAATTCAAGTCCTCTTTCTTTTAATATGTTTATTTTTCCTTTTTAGCCTTCTAATTTTAATGATATAAATCAATTGCAAACATAAATGCACAGAATCTGCAGGAGTGAGTTCATCACTCCATAAAACATTAATGTGCTTTGAAATTTAGATTTTTTACTAATTATTTTTTTATATAGAAACTTACCCTTCTGGCCAAATTGTGTCATCATACAACACACAGATCTGATGCAACTTTCTCCCACACTGCATGCACTCAATGAATCTGTGGAAACAATAAAATACATAAACAAGTACAAGAAGTTGACGTTTCATGTTCAGTCAGATTTATTCGGTGTAAACACTAAGAATAGCCCACAAAAGTCCAGAAGAACTTATTTCCAGTGGGGTCCTTCTGGTGGTGATTGGGCAGTACACCGGGAGACAATCCCCTACTCTTTTCTGAAGAGTGTACTGTGTTCTTTAACATGCACATGGGCCATAAATGAATACTGGATCAACCGTTAAAACATCTCCTACAAAAGACAGTGCTCTTGTAACTTATATTATCGTAACTAGTTACGATATTACAGAAAACGATAAATAGGTGAGAATTTTAGACAATTAGTGCGAGCATAGAGATGTTTGAAGGTGAGGGGATCAGGGTAACAATTGAATTAACGATAAGATTATCAACAACACTGTCATAGTAATTAAAATTATACACACAGCAAAAAATAAAAGTGATTGAAATTTGATCATGACAGTCCTTAAGGGACAGCCAGTTAAATATCTCCTCATATGGTAATACGCCTAGAAGCATGTCGTTGAATTTGTTTTCGATGCTCAGAATGTTTGGCGTAAACAGGACCACATGCAGGGAGATCATACTCAATGATAGGCAAGATCATAGCTTTGTTAACAAACAAGAGATGACTTAAGGGGAACTCTTTTCAGCATGGGCGAGGATAACGCCATGGAGCCCATTCGAATGCACATTACATACATACTGACAGATTTTTACATGCTTAATAGGCATTAAGAAAGTATTAATCAGTGGTATGACCTTTTCAATATCTAAGTAATGCTTTCAAGATGGCTGAATATTAAAATTGTTGACAAATACTTACAGTTCTGGAAGGGCAGTATTTTTCATCTCGGTAAATTGGTCCTTCTTGATCCTTCTAAAGATAAAAACAATTACACAATCACAGATCAGATATATCAAAGCATTTTTCATTAAAATTATCTTCATACTCGGGACCTGTGAATTAAGTTGATTGACTGCACTGCCACACAAATTAAGGTGTATGTTTTTAATAGCCTGCCTACCATTTTCAAACAAGCACTGCCTATTCTAGCTTTAGTGGCTGAATCAGTAATAATCAATTAATAATAATTTGCGCAACAGTGCAATGCTAGAACAGAATCACTGATGCATAACTGTCCTGCCGGATGTCCTACATTCTCTGCATATGAAGGTTTGGCCAAATTGTGTGACGAGAAGAGCTTAACGTTCTCACGCTCGGATTGACTTTTAGTGACGTCATTACATTCTACGCCCTAAAGTCCTTGTGCAATCAAAAGCTCCCTAATATAGTGTAGAGCACTGTCACAATATTAAACTACTAACAATGAAAACCCATTTAAGCAAAATACATTTTATAACTATTCATCTATCTATTTATTTATTTTATGGCTATTTATGTGATTTTAACATGAGGTGCAAAACAAGACATTTTGTTGTCTATGTGTTGAACTTTACTAACTTTTGTTGCATAGAACTTGAACTATCTTCTAATGACACATGATCTGCATTGACGGCCTCAAAGCACTTCTTACAGATGCAATACCTGTCAGAGAAAATCCCAATACCCAATCAATCTCAATCACTCATTTTATTGTGACTATAATTTAAAGTTAAATTATACAATTTAACTTTAAAGATTAAAGTTAAAAAGACAATGAAAACATCAAAACAATCACTCAAAAAGAAATCAAAATGGGCAATAAAAGTAGTTACATTACAGATTAAAACCATTCATAATAATAAAACCCAATAATGATTAAGTTTGGCTACTTGGTATGGTTCCTGCCTCTTGCAAGCCAGGGCCTGGGTTCGATACCCGGCTCTGATTTGAATATTGAATTCGGGTCTTTCATAATAACAAAAACGCTCAGCTCCTCGAATAACCCTCTCAGGAGAGTTAGGCGAGTTAAGGGCCACATTTGTATCAGTCTGTATCTGTTTGATGTTGTAGTTAAGTCTGGTAGTTGGAGCCGAGCTATGGCAGCCGTGGGTCCCCGGAGACCCAGCCCAAATTTCCTAGTGTGTAGGCATACTGTACATATTCGAGGACAAAAAAAAGAATTATTATTACTATTATTATTATTATTATTATCATTATTATTAAATAGCGCAAAAAAAAAATCTGCCAGCACAGAATATTATTATCTAAATTAAACATCAGTTTGTGTTTAATTTGAAGGGAAATGATAACCTATCCCCGAGATTTACTTTTGTGTTCATTGTAGGATCCATAACTTTCACAGCATTGTTTATAATTTAACATAGAGTATCGGCAGAGGGACTTTTGTTCCCCCACTTGGGGGTGTCTGAGAAATCTCCTCCCTGTTGGGTTTTTTCTAACAAATTTGTATCTAACATGATTTATTCTTCCAAAAGAATGAAATGTGTGCAACATAATTGCCCGGCCTGCAATATTGCAGGCAGCTCAAAAATATGTAATAACAAAACCAATCCCATTTTAAGAACAGTAGAGGATGAATATTTAGAAATATAGCCACAAAGTATACATATATTTTTTATTATAGGCAATATTACATTTATGAGCAAGATTTTGGTTCGTGTGTTAGACACACTGCGAAAGCATGAGTTTCATGCCAAATGCGCAAGCCTTGGAGTATATGTAAAGGCTGAATGTTTATAGGAATCTCAGTGTAATGTATTTTTGGAAGGAGCAGTAATATCACATGACTGCTCCTTGTTTACACCGCACTGACATATTAAAGTACTTTTGCATAGCCTATTACCTAAGGGCACATAGAAAAAATTATTAGATTATTACTCTTTTTCTTTTTTTTTTTTAAATTATGAGGGAGGGGCGGGTTTTTTTTTGCATTGTTCTTTTTATGGTGTTGAAATAATTGATGCAGCAAAAAATTTTTTTTTTATTCCCGCATCAATATTTACTGAATTTTAGACGCGGGCGGGAGTGATAATCTAATAAATTTATATATTTCCCGCAAGACTAAGAAGGAAAAAATTAGGCCTAGTTACAGTACACTCAGCAACAAGGTCGCTAACTTATTGCTAAGCTTTCTATTGAACAAGTTAAGGTCTAAATGAAGTGAGCAAAATCATATGTTTTTACTACTTTATTATCAATCGTCAGTGCCGATGGGTATCACCATGCACAGCAAAATTAAATTAAATATGATATAAATAAGAATGCTCACTTAACAAGATCTCCCGGAAGGGATTACTACCAACTTGGGACCCTTGCACTAGATTGACGTGGTTACTATTGCGTTTGCAATCTGTATCGTATCACGAGTAATGGCAAACAACTCATCACTGGAACTGGAAAACCTGGATGACCTTATGCATTAGAAATATGCATATAAGATCTGGTTTTCCAAAAATATTTTTGAATTTGTTTTATCACTTAATCTTTATTATATATCAAAAACATAACATACTCACAGCGGTTCATCTACACATCAGACAACACCTACCTGTACCTGCTAAATTTCAGCTTTCTAGTAGACATTTTTAAAAATAATTTGTGTGTTTACAAAGCAAACGTCACCTCTGTGACCTCGCTTTTCTCATGCAGGTGGTAACTATGTTTATATTGTTTGTAACAAAAAAAAGTCAACTTACCTATTTTGATACATAAAATATGTTGCATCTTTTGGAATTGTGCAAAGTTGCTTTCCCTGACAATCAAGAACTTGAGGATGGAAAACATGCTAAAAGTAGAGATGATCCTTATTAGAAAGTGATTTATTAGAAAGTAATTTAATGTAAATTTAGTAGTAGTTCTCAAACCCTTATATTTTGCTACTGGCAACCCTTGGCCTAGTTGCATAAATACACTTAAAGAAGAAAAAAAAAACCATGTTGCTATTAGGCATTATGGTATTTTATCACGTTAATTCATACTAGGATACTTGGGACGCCAATAAACTATAACAAATTGATGGTAAATTAAACTTGAGAATTTTGCCTAATTAATGGTTTGCTATAAAATGCTCCAAAAGATACTGGCCCCAAACATCTGGATTTTTCGACAAATGTTAGGCCTAGGCCCCTGCATATCCAGTTTAGATACACACAAGAGTCTTAGACCCACAAAGGCTAGCTATTAAAGTTTTACAAAGGATCACATAAATTTCAAAGCATATAATGCCAGGAGAATGCTGGTGTAAGTAAACAAACACTATTTCGAACAATCGTAGTGCCTTTCCTTGCCTGTTATTTCTCATGTTAAGAGTGGGTGGTTGTTTTCGAAACCATGACATTACCTTCTCCTATACTTTCACACTGATCGCACTGTAATATTTTCAATGGTTTACCCACTATTTATATACATGACAGACTGTAAACAAACCTCGCGGAATTGGTGTATTGTTCTCTTTTATTGAAACTAATTGCAAAGACTTGTAATAACATAAAATATAATTGATGAATTCATCTATATTTTGTTATTCACATTTAAATTATTGAAATAACTATGAAATCATAGAGTACCTTAGTACCACAGCAGAACCCCAGCTTCTTCATAACAGGAGTAATCACCATTTCAAACAACTCCTGTAATTTGGTGCAGTATTTATAAACTCTGGTGTTTTTACGGTTGTACAGCCAGGCATTCTCAAACATCAGCCAGACATCATTTACGTACTGCCACGGGTCTGTATACTGTTCAGTATCAAATTTCTTCTTGATCGTGGACAGATCCATCGGACGTTTTACAGTATCAAAATAGTCCTAAAAACAGATTTGATTTATTGACACATTTATGTTTGTATTGTGTTTTTAGAGCAGGCTTAGCCAGCGAGCTGTCCGGCCGTCTTTTGGACGGCCAAAAATTATTTAGGACAGCCACTTTTATTGTGACGGCTTGGTCTTAGCTCGGCCTAGCCTAATTGGGCCTGGTCTACCTTTAGCAAATGCTTTTTATATTCTTCAAATCTATCAAATGTTACACTAATCTAAAGCTCATATTTACGTTTGATAAAAACAACATTTACTGATTGAATGCATGTTGTTTTCATACCAATATTTGGTGGGGATTCCGAAAAATGTAAGGCTTAACTATTGCCTAGCCGGTAAAAAGTTCACTAACAACAAGCGTTGTGTTAAATACATTTATACCCCGCTGGAAAATGGACGGTTCTGATTTGGCCACAAACTCATGCACGTGGCTCTTATTCAAACGGGGCAATTATTCAAAAAGGCGCTTATGAAAACAGAGTGGAAATTAAGGGGGTGCTTATGAGAAATTGGAAAATTCAAGGGGCACTTTTTTTTTAATGGAAGATAAACGAAAGAAAAGATAATCGTCGAGAGAGCATGGCTCATGACTAGAATGTCGGGGGTATTTACACAACAGCAGATGAAATTAGTGGTGGTGGTGATGGTGATGGGCGTGTTGGCAATCCTCCAATTCAGATTAGTATGATCACTGCAGGGTTTCTTGCTTAGATTCGAGAGGGTGAGGTCAGTTTATTTTTGTTGGCTGAAAATGGCCATATAGTATACTGTAGTTCCAATTAAAAAAAAGGGTAGCAATAAAACAAGAACATGATTCTCAAGATGCATCAAAACTGAAAACATGTTAAACTTAATGGAAACTGACAGATGGATAGATGGACTGACCAAATGACAATGCTAAGATAGATGTGAATAGTTGATGCAGAAAATTAAGTTGGTGATGTTCTGTACTGTATGATTGAATTTTTTTTTTATTCAAGAGGGGTGCTTATTCAAATGGGGCGCCTATTTGCGCGAGTATGAAAAATTGAGATTCGGTTCCCCGACATAATATTGTTGGTGTTCGTAACTCTCTGGTTATAATTAATTCATGAAACACCGTAAAGAAGATGTCGTTAACCTCACAAGTTAAATTTTATTAGTCAACAAAATACAGTAGGTCTAGGCCTCTCTCGATTCGGAGGACCTACTTTAGAATTATGGCTAATTCAACACTATTCCTTTAAAGACAAAAATCCAACATTTAAACACCTTTAAATGCCCTCTAAAAATCATAATTTTCTATTTTTTTTTCAGGAGGGGACCTGGCCTCGAGTGGGCTTGGCCCACTCATTAGCTGAGGGACATGCCCACTGGCTGTGATTTTGGACAGCCTATTTCATTTTTCTGGCAAAGCCCCTGTTTTAGAGGGAAATATTTCATTTCAATGCTAAAATTTAAAAAATTGTTTATTGTTGAAAAATATTAATAATTGGAGAAACAAATGATGTAGATTGTGTAGTAAAGATGAAGGGTTTTTATGCTACTAAGGAACTTACTGGAATCTGGAGGGACTTTGGATCAACTGGCTGGCGGAAGGGTTGCGATTCTGGAACCTGTCTTAGCTTCTCTAGAGTTGGCATCAATGCTTGTCTTAGGTCCTCAGGTTTAAATTCTGGAATAAATATTTATTCTAGCATCTTGTATATTAATATATTATAATATAGTATATATAGATATAATGTTTGCAGGTATAAATAATATCATAATGAATGTTGCAGAAGTGCATTTCACTGAATGAGTCATATATTATATCTGATTCTGTATTTACTTAAATAATTTCACAAGTGTAAATGTATTATTTAAATAATCATTAAAAAATAATTATCATTGCCATTAGCATCACAAAACCATGGACTAGTGCAAAAACCAAACACCATTAATCACATCAACACCTGAGCTCACTCTTGACATCACTCATAGTTTCAGTATTAAGAATTAAAGAAGTAATTTTACAAAGTGATAACTGTTTAGTTTCACAACATTGAGGTTGGGGTTTCAATCTCTCGATTTGCATTTCACCTCTCCACCCAGGAGTGTAAGTGGGTACCTGGTAGGGTTAAATGCCAAAATGTGTTAATCTGCTGCAATGTTATGGAATACACCTCCAGGGAGCTTGAGTATCTGTTCCTTAGGCATTTAATCCAATGGTAATGATTATGTAAACTTCTACTGGTACATTGTTAATAGTAATATTTGGGGGATGTTTTCATGAAACATACTTGCACATGGGCACATTGATTCTCATTAAGGGACATGCCATTATTAACTGTCCAACTATTCAGGTTGGGTTTCCGGGTCCATTGCCACCCGGCCTTTTGCTACCAGGCCCGTTGCCACCTTTGGGAAAGGCATCATCCTGTTTTGTTTTTTTTAAACACAGATTTGTAAATATGGATTCGTATATTTTTATAATTGTGTATTAGAATGGTGAAGTTAAAAAATGGTTAATATAGTTTACTACTCAATAAATTATTGAAGAATAACAACCTATAGAAATACAGAGAAATAAAAAAAGGCAAAGATAACTGCAGTTTAATCAACAACCAAGTGCCAAAGAGGCATAACCGACGTACTGGGTGCTAAATTAATTAATTAGTCCTAGTAGGACTGATCTGTCTCTTATACACATCTAGATGTGTATAAGAGACAGGGTCTACCTTTAGCAAATGCTTTTTATATTCTTCAAATCTATCAAATGTTACACTAATCTAAAGCTCATATTTACGTTTGATAAAAACAACATTTACTGATTGAATGCATGTTGTTTTCATACCAATATTTGGTGGGGATTCCGAAAAATGTAAGGCTTAACTATTGCCTAGCCGGTGAAAAGTTCACTAACAACAAGCATTTATACCATGCTGGAAAATGGACGGTTCTGAGTCGCCCACAACGCATGCACGTGGCTCTTATTCAAACAGGGCGATTATTCAAACGGGCGCTTATGAAAACAGATTGGAAATTGAGGGGGTGCTTATGAGAAATTGGAAAATTCAAGGGGCACTTTTTTTTAGTGGAAGATAAACGAATGTTTTGGGTGAAGAAAAGGTAATCGTCGAGAGAGCATGGCTCATGACAAGAATGTCGGGGGTATTTACACAACAGCAGATGAAATTAGTGCTGGTAGTGATGGTGGTGGTGGTAGGCGTGTTGGCAATCCTCCAATTCAGATTAGTATGATCACTGCAGGGTTTCTTGCTTAGATTCGAGAGGGTGAGGTCAGTTTATTTTTGTTGGCTGAAAATGGCCATATAGTATACTGTAGTTCTAATAAAAAAAGGGTAGCAATAAAACAAGAACATGATTCTCAAGATGCATCAAAACTGAAAACATGTTAAACTTAATGGAGACTGACAGATGGATAGATGGACTGACCAACTGACAATGCTAGATAGATGTGAATAGTTGATGCAGAAAATTAAGTTGATGTACTGTACTGTATGATTGAATTTTTTTAGGAATTGAGGGGCGCTTATTCAAATGGGGGCGCCTATTCAAATGGGGGCGCCTATTTGCGCGAGTATGAAAAATTGAGATTCGGTTCCCCAACATAATATTTTTGGTGTTCGTAACTCTGTGGTTATAATTAATTCATGAAATACCATAAAGAAGATGTCGTTAACCTCACAAGTTAAATTTTATTAGTCAACAAAATACAGTAGG